CATCATGGTGTTTATAATTGAATGTGAAATGTTTATACTTGTAGACAGCGAAAATCAACGTGTCTGTATTTTTACCTAAATATTTCATTAAAATCGTACAAAGTCACTCAGCAGTCATTTGTTAGACCATCTTGTTACGGATTATTTTCTAACTTCTCTTTTGTGGTCTTTCACTAATCTACCCGTAAAGGGCTGGATTAATAGTTAGCCCTCCGCGTTGGCCACTAATATCCGTCTAAACTCCGTCCAAATCCGTGATAATCGGATCAGTTGAAACTTACCGTTCTAATAACGCAATGTATCCCATTACGAAACAGTCTTCACTTTTTCAATGAAATTTTTTAGTCAAAAAGCTTAATGTATACTAATAACCATACAAAAGAATTCCGTGCGAGAAAGAACTTGTGTTTTGGTCAACAGTATAAATACAGCTCAAGATTTTAACAGTGGTCATTAAATTCCGGATACATTCACGTGTGGAAGTAAAACTATTTATAACAAATATTTATTAACTTCTAACATTTAATTTTTTTTTACTTGTCTGAAAGAAAAATATTCGATGCTTAAAGTTTTATTTTTCATACTTTTTCAAACAACAAACTTGCTGCTATTTTGTTATCATTTTAATTAATTTATTTACTTATGTATTTATTTTTAGCTGCAAATGGAATAAATTTGTCAAAAAAAAAATAAATTCGAGGTTTCGCACTATGTTTTGAATTTCACTTAACAAAAAAATCATGAACTGAAAAATGAAAATTGTAATATTAAGTTATTATTACTGTAAATAGAAGGTACAAAGGACGTCTGAAGATACAACGGAACACAGATGCATTTCTCGGATGGATGGCTATTTCTACAAGAATTCCTTATCTACGGTGATGCGTAGGCGTTGTGCACAGATTTTATAGTCTGACTGTGTATTTCGTCTAAGCACCACTGAGATGGGACACCAGCAGACGACATTTTCGGCGGGACCTTATCAGACAACATTTTCTTTCAGGCGTGACCTCAACACAATCCTAGGATTGACAGCAAGCGTTTTTAATAACTAATCTAAACAAAAAATTTGTCATATGTGAAAAATTGTTTTCTTTCATTAAAAAAATCAGGACCTGACATATGCATATACGTTCTTTTCTTTTTTCTTTTGCTGCATGAAATGCTTGAATATTATCAATTTTTATGCGTTAGTCTGTATTTGTAGATAGTTATAAATGAAAATAATTTCTCATTCTAGCAGATTGTAACGGCTATTTATAAGAGTTTACTAATTTGATAATCAGTTTGTTTCAGATTTAGCCATTTAAATACATTATAACATTCTTTTCATTTTGAATTTTATTTCCCACTATATTAGCTGACGAAATTATAAAATAACAGGCTGGTCAAAATGTCTTCGACAGAATTAACATGGCCCAGTTGTCCGGAGATTCACGTCAAACTAGTCACCTTCACTAATTTACATTAACTATTATTCCTCTTTCGTTCTATAACAACTATTTTAAAATTGATAAATACAAAATTTTCAAGAAATTGTACCAAAGACACTGTGTCCAAAATTTCCGGTCCATTACTTTTATCCCTACATAATATGTTCCATTAATTAATATTAAAACATAATTTCATTTTTTGCCATATTTGACCATTGAAAGGCAAGCAAATACTTCAAATAACAGACTGAAAACAAACCAAATGTGATTTATGCACAACGACTTGGGATCTGCCTCAAGTATTGTTTAACCTGATGGAAAATGTTTTCTTATTAAAATAAGACTGATTTTGAAAAAAATGTACTGGAATATAATAATTTTTCATTGAAACTTGAAACTTTTTAAAGGCACATTATGCCACAGAAACCAATATATGTTTTCTTCTTCTTAATGACTTTTATGACGTTCAAATAATGGTTAGCTATAGATCACCTGAAGAGAGTAACACTGAATGTTAAAAGAAGCAAAATGCAATCGAAATAGCACTTTGATTGCTATTCAAAATCACTTTAAATACACGTAACTGTACTTAATTACAGCCAAAAAGCAACAGGAGCAAAATATGGTTCCGAGTAAAAGGCATATAAGAAATATTTTAGAAACTAAAAAATGAATCAAAAACGAAAAGCTTTTTTTGGAAATAACAATTAAGGCATTTCTATGGCATATCATACCAGATTCCTGTGACACCTTTTTCGTTCAACATATATAATTCATCAAACCGCTTTTGTAACATATATTCTGTACAAATTAACCCACAAATCTTATTTAATCTACATAAAATCTTTACTTTTTATTTTATTCATTTTACTCCATTTGGGAAACTTTTTTCTGACGTCACGACTTAAATGACTAAAGTTCATTTTTAAACTAAGTACATTTGTATACGGATTTTTTTACAAGATTTTTTCTCTCTCAAATGAATACCTTAAACTATAACAATAAATAAAATCAAAACATTACTTGTGTATTTATAATAAGATAATCTGTCTAATACACGGGATAATCTCCCTCCAGTGGGGGTAGAGGATTAACAGTTTAATTTGGAACGCTGCGCATTTTATAGACAGATTAACTAATTTTGTTAAATATTTAGGTCTGTAACAAACCCAAACAAGTCCCAAGTACGAAAAGTGTACTTTGACCTTTTAATAGGTTTGTTATAAACATTACATAATAATTGAACAAGAAACAAATATGCCAGGTAGCCAGGACCCTAAGTATTGGTGCATGCATGGTTTTACTTTGAATCTGTCGGACTGAACAAACTCAATGTGGCTTACTGCCGTGAACCGGAGTGGAAAGAACCAATACTACCACCAAACTATTAACATAGCAATGACCAAAACTCCCGACTTTGAAATATTTAATATTTTAGTTACATTGTTTTCACCCTACCTACTTTGTATGCTTTGAATTCCAGACAGTTCATTGTTTTCATATACAAAGTTTAACGTGAGTTACTAACACTATTTTGTATAAATGTGTTCCTAAAGTACATTATTATATCAAGTACAAATAAGCACACTCGTGCCTAATGAAGAACCAATTTCCGTAAACTTCACTACAAGAAGTATTAAACAAACCTGTTAGAGCTTGAGCTCACAGCGTTAGGATGCAAGTTTACCAAGGTTAGCTACATGAACGATAACCACTGATAACCACACGGCCACAGAACAAAGACCCTGCCCCCTATCCCCTCAAAATATGGCATCAATCACAGTTATTATATTGGGCAACAATCAGTAAACAAGCAGTTCACCTTCTTTAACATCATAAAATATTATCTGGTGTATTTATATATACAGAATTGATTATTTCACATCAAGTTATTATATTTTATCTTTAATAATTAAACACAACTGTTGCATGCTATAATTTATTGATTCAATAATAATGTTTAACATCTGTAGATCACCATCTGATGTATCTACATTTGAGCCGCGTCACGACAAAACCAACATAATGGTTTTGCGACCAACATGGATCCAGACCAGCCTGCGCATCCGCGCAGTCTGATCAGGATCCATGCTGTTCGCTATCAGTTTCTTTACTTGTTATATGGTCTGTAAGCAAACAGCATGGATCCTGATCAGACTGCGCGGATGCGCAGGCTGGTCTGGATCCATGCTGGTCGCAAACCCACTATGTTGGTTTTGTCGTGACGCGGCTCATTTTATATTCACTATATAACAACATGTGAGTAGGAAAAAACACTGTAAAACCAAATGCCATTAAGATAAAGAAGCATGTTAAATTACAGCCAATTTGTTATTTCCTTTAATAAGATATTGCCATCAATATATTTCTTGTTTTAACAAGGTTTTACATAAGGTAATTTCAAACATATCATAATAAATGTACATGTATTAGTTTTATAAGCGGTACTTAGAGGATGTGGGTATAAAGCTATATCTTATGACAAATTCAAAATTTAATAATGGTAAAATTATCATATTTCCATAACCTGATGTTATGGAAATCAAGAGTTGTAACATAGAAAGTCGCTGTTATTCAACACACGAATATTTTATGTAAACAGAATTAAATGTCCTGGAACAAAATACTATATGCTGTTATTTTCAGCAGGTACCATTTAGCAATGATGTCATGCATGTGGTATTTGATCTTAAGGAAATAAATCAATATATTTCTTTCACACCTTGGCCTTACTTTAATTAGTCTTTTACAAATTTGTATTCTACATACAGCAGATTTATATTCTTATACACTTTAACATTATTATATATGTAAATTGAATTTCACTTACAAACAATAAATTCTATTAATAGATCAACTGTTTATGAAGTTACATTGTTAAAGGTACTCCACTCAAGTCTGAAAGTCTAAAAATACAAAATTTGAATTTCCTACATATATCAACTGGGATCCTTAATAAAGAAAGAAATTATATAATTGAAAATTGTATTTTTGTACTACTACTGGATCAATTTGATTTAAAAGTGTTGCATTAATCAATTTTCAGATATTTTTTCACAATTATAATAATAATACAGAAAAAAAATGAAGTGAGTAAATGATTAAAAATTTTGTATACAAGTTACTTGTCTAGACCTACAGTAAATGTGACATTAATCATAAAAAAATCAAAATCAACTGTTTTGCACACTTCATCTGTTAAACTGCAAATTATTATATAAATAAAAAAATATACCTTTTCTCTGTCTGCAAAAAGGAATTTAAATACATCATTTTCATTGGTGATGATTTTTGTCTCAAAATAATACAAAAATAAAGCACTTTTTAGTCTTGTGCATGGGGCAAATAATACATTGCTCAAAACCAAAAATTTATCAGTTCCTATATCACAATAAACTTTAAGTAAAATATTTAAAGCAGCACATCTCCAGAATCTTGTTGATATTTTATGAAAGCTTCAAATTTTACTATTGTCATGTATACAAAATGGTGAGCCTAATGTATACAAAATGGTGAGCCTAGCCTTAGACACTTTACATTAATGAGCCGCGTCACGACAAAACCAACATAATGGGTTTGCGACCAGCATGGATCCAGACCAGTCTGAGCATCCGCGCAGTCTGATCAGGATCCATGCTGGTCGCTAACAAACTCTATAACAAGTAGAGAAAATGATAGCGAACAGCATAGATCCTGATCAGACTGCGCGGATGCGCAGGCTGGTCTGGATCCATGCTGGTCGCAAACCCATTCTGTTGGTTTTGTCATGGCGCGGCTCATTTGTAATATGCACTGAATTTTCAAGGCTAATTTTTTCCACCCTTTCCTTTGTAACAATGTAGTAGTTAACATGAATTTTGGTGATAAATTATTGTAAATTTTGTCATAAAGTGCATATAATAACACTTTTACCTGGACTAATTATAAATTACTTTAAATACATGCATTATTTTCCTGTGCTTTATTTCTTGAAAAAATATTTTTGCTTTTCTGGAGATGTACCATTTTACTTGCATGTTAAAAACACATAACAAAAATTTCATCTTCACAAAGTAAAATCTGAACCATTTCACCACATGTTAACACTAACAAGACCATTAACCCTATGTAATACTTTGAGATATTATTACAATATCAAATGTAGGCATTCGTTGAATACTAGCCAAAGCAGTTTGACACTGACCAATTACATACAACCATCTTGATATTTATCTTTTACAGTTGGTTTACATACTGAACACAAAATTATAAATTGACATATACATTTATAAACCTTTCATTTCTGTCTCCAGTATTTTAACTGACTGTTCACTATAGTATGTAATGATTTTGCTCCTTTTCATGGAAATTTACAGACTCTGCTCTTTAACCTGTATCACCCAAAATATCTTAAATAGACTTGTCCATCTTTCATTCTGGACAAAACCATTTATCATTTTTAAATACAGATGTGCCATATGATCTTGTTCTGCATAGGTTACATGGATAGAATTTGTTTCCGTCAGCAGGCTCAAAGTTAAATTAGTTGTAAGATTCTTACCAAGTGAGAAATAATTATGTTGCTGATTACAGACAAATTCACCTATATACCTTTAAACAATCATTTTCAGCATTAAAATATTATGTCCTTGATGCGGTTATGAAATTAGTACATGAACCATTTCCCACAATTATTTATCATAATGATCATGAACACAAAGCTTTGGCAGAAAATAACAAGGCCAGTAAAGTTGTCGACATCAGAAAATCTCCAAACATGTATAGGAAATTCAATAAAATTGATAATGATGAGAAGAACATTGTCCTTAAACAGACAAAGATATCCAGTCGAAAAAATTAAATAAACTTGATAATGATAATACATGTAATAACATTATTCTTAAACACATGGAAGATCTCCAGGTCATTAAAAGAACAAGCCCATTACAAGCAAGCTTCTCACGCTGGGCACAATCACAGTTTGTGGAGGTTAGAATAGTCATGATATTGCACCAAGTAACAGTCACGTGACATCATCCTTTGATCACAGCGATTGGTCGAAGTTTGATAGCTTTCTTACTAATACCAGCCATATGACCTGAAATACAAGTACAGAGAATTAATCAACATGCATCAAGCTGCCAATATATAGTATGAAATCTTGCTTTCTCACATATATCTTGGTTAAAGACTTAAGAAGTATTAAAATTAAGGCATTTTTATTTTTTACAAGTATTTATTTTCTGTGTCCTGTCGTAACTTGTTGGTCATATACCTGAGCCATCCCTGGCTTCTTTTAAGTTTTGATAATAAGTACATTTATGGTAAAATTGTATTTTGTATGGAAGTCAAAATACCACTTTGTTTACATCGTACTACCATTATCACACATAATATTACAATCAATGCTAGTTTTTTCATGTAGTAAGCATCCTACATGTTCTAAATCCATTATTATAACCTCATAAAATACATCTCTGTCCTTTCTGCTGAAGGAAACACATTTATTTCTTAGGCATCACATGTAAAAAATGCTCCATTTTAGGAATAACATTTTTATCATTCTTAAAAATGTTCAATAGTGAACATAAAATGAAGAATTTTATACTATGATGAATCTTGTAACTTAAGATTACTGGTTTCCTAGCAGTTTCCGTCCCCTAGCAGTTTTCCGGCCGTTTATCATTTTCGTCCAGTACAGTCTATTTTTACCAGTAAGGCATCCACATTACTTCATCAATCAGAGAGACATTTGTTTTCTATGCTAAACAGCATTTAAAATAGTACAACGATTTATATGTTTTGAAGTTTTGCCTGTTATTTAAAGTTACATAAGAGAACTTGCGACTTTCAAAAATAAGCAACACCTGGGGAATTCTAGTTTGAATATCCATGCGCAATAACTAAGACCCCATTTTAGGTAAATCAATACTTTGGAAAATATTTTTGCAGATGACACGGAAAAGGTTGGGAAATTCTGTTTGTCTGATAAGACCATCTTAACATTGCTTTATGGTACTGAATTATATTCAAAATCAAAAAGGTCAGGAAAAGTGCTATGATTTTTTTAATAAAAGTGAAAAAAGGTGTTACATTTCAGGCCTATATTCAAATTAACAAGAGCTGTCGGTAGGACAGCAACGCTCGACTATTCTTAGTGCTTGATAGTAAAAAAAAAATGCTGGATACAGTTACCTCCTCCTGTCTACAGGCTGGGGTCATGATGGTGAACAAGTGTGCAAAGTTTCAAAGCCATATGTCAATGAACTTTGAAAATATTTGAGGTATTACAAAAACTTTAACATAAATTCTAAGTCGAAAAAGGGGCATAATTCTGTCAAAATGCTTGATAGAGTTACCTCCTCCTGTCTACAAGTTGGGGTCATAATGGTGAACAAGTGTGCAAAGTTTCAAAGCCATATGTCAATGGACTTGGAAAATATTTAAGGTATTACAAAAACTTTAACATAAATTCTAAGTCGAAAAAGGGGCATAATTCTGTCAAAATGCTTGATAGAGTTACCTCCTCCTGTCTACAGGTTGGGGTCATGATGGTGAACAAGTGTGCAAAGTTTCAAAGCCATATGTCAATGGACTTTGAAAATATTTGAACTATTACAAAAACTTTAACATAAGTGGTTACGCCGATGCAGACGCCGACGCTCGGGTGACTGCAATAGCTCTACTTATTCTTATCGAATAGTCGAGCTAAAAAGTAAAATGAAAGTGCAACATTAAACACAGAGCAATGCTGGACAGGTACCTAACTTTGTCCTGTCAAAGTTTTGTACGCCTCCGTAGACTGATTTTTATTTTATTTGTTAAAAAGTGTGATTTGTGGCCGGAAACTGCTAGGAAACCAGTATATAGAAAGATGTGTATCAACAAATTTGAACTTACATGTATCTACAACATCTGTTACATTTTTATAAGATTGTGGTGCCTGAAATATCAAATATATTCATAATTAAATGCCATTAGTACGGTAACTCCTTTTGTAATTGATACAATCAAATACGTCTTAACAGCAATGTGTTTAAATCGAGAGTATCTCAGTTTACATTGATATAGTATTCAAGATGGAAGCAATACATAAGCATGAATTCTCAAAGATTAAATTATGACAAGTATAAAGTTTACTTCAACCAAATGCATTAGTGGTATTAGGTAATGAAAAGCCCATGAATGTAATAGGCCTAATCAAAGTACATGATTGTTATTAACTTATTTGCAGCACATGAAACCACAGCAATAAGAAAGACATCATATACAATGGTCATATATATATTACTGTATACATGTATAAATTCTAACACACATAAATATAGCCATTTATAACGCCTTATAATAAGTAATGGATAAATTGAACAAACATTTTTTAACACAAAACTTTAACCAAAATGTACTATGTAAGATTTATCATGCCTTTTCTTCTCTTTATTTAAATAAATATCAAAATATGTCAGAAGAGCACATTTAGTTGTTTTTTTTTTACAACTACAGCGAATAACACTTTCAGTGGAATATTTCTGTGGGGTATTTTTTATACACTTAATACATCTATATGTTAAATCTTTCAAAGCTAAGATTTGTTCAAACTTTAATCTTCATGTATCAACAAGTACATTAATATATTGCCTAAATTACCTTCAAATACAAGAGAAGAAAATAGGTGTTTGGGAATATATTTACCTCCTCCATGACAAGTTTTGGTGACGCTACACGTATACTGATTCCCTGCTCCTCGAGAGCATTTAATACATCTGTATAGTCCAAGTTACGTCGAGACTTGGCTCGTGACATTGCTCTCCCCTGTAAAACATTATCTTTATATAATACACCTGTCCAGTAATTTGAACAGCAAAGCTTAATGCACTTTAACTTGTCAAGTAAACTCAAAATTTACTTAAAACTTGTAGGTTTTTGCTGATACAACATTGCTAGGCTCAGATATTAACTCTATTATGTCCTAAATTCCTTACCATTAACATGTATGTGAAACTCATTAAATTTATCTTTTGCAAAATGAAAGAATGTATTGCATAAACATGAGAAGGAATTAATAAAAGTGTTATGCTTGTATATCAATCCATATACTTAAAGACTCTTTAATATTGTGATCTAAAATTATATATGTTTGTAAATTTGCTTTATAAAATACTTTTTAACTAAATAGGAAAAACAATCCAAAACTGGTTTTCAAAAGTATGAAATGGTGTGTTAATCTGTAAAGTTGTTTTGGCTTGTATCTTTGAATTAAATCATCATATCCAAACAGATGATTTTGTTGGGGATTCACTATTTTACAGGGATGCTAATTTTACTTACAGCACCGTGACAAGTAGTTCCGAATGTCTCATTCATTCCATGTTCTGTACCAGTAAGAACATAACTACATGTTCCCATAGTTCCTCCAATCAACACAGGTTGACCTGTCAACTGAAATCATTATAAGAATATTATATCTCTTACCCTATTGCTAATTGTTGAAATTTTATCATCTTTAGCAAGGTTAACTGTTACTTAATGAAAGCATTTTTAATTTTTCACTGTCTTTAAGTCACACTATAAAGGTAAGTGACCCTCAGTTTGGTATTTCAGGCAAGAGTGGGCGAGTACGTGGATAGAAGTGTATATTCCCATCAATGGGAAATAACTGGTAATGTTACAATTATTCCATAACAAGCTTTATCACCCTTTGCATTTAACATTTGTAGGATAAATTAGGAAAATGATAGATCCCTAATCTGACCTTTAATTTTAATAACAATAGATTTAGCCACAAACATGGACATGTGCTCTTTTGTTAATCATTATGTATTGGTGAAATTCTGACTGTATTCACTTATCTAATAATTAGAGTAAGACAGGTCAGGAATCTATGCATTTTACTTCAGTATAACTTTAGAAATGTTATTGAATATGACTAAATTGAAAATGATTTTATCATCATCATTCATACAGAAAAATCTTTTACACATGTTCAACTTCTATTTATGATACTGTCCATAATTAATTTAAGAGATATATAGATGAAAATTTGAAATTAGTCAGCTAATCAGACTGCTATGGGTCTATACTGGTGACAAATGCTAATCACTTTCGGTTCAGGTTAAGAGTTAAAACAAAAGTCTTACCTGATAATCTACAGGTATAAGAGGATGATGTGGCGGGAAAGCTCTGGTCGAACCTTTCCTATGTACTAAAAGTGTCTTCTGCTTGCCGTCTAGAAAATGTTCCTCTACTTTAGCGATGTTGTGTGACACATCATAAATCACGTGCATGTCAAGGTCATCAGGGGTCGAATTGAACATCTTAGCAAAAGCCTGAAAGAAAATTGAATACAGACATTGTATACTTTCATAAATGTTTTAGAGATAAAATAAATCAGACAATACATTAATTCATCACAATTTAGTTTGGTATTTTAGACTGTTAAATAAATAGTACAAAATTCTGGAAAAGGGGAAACAATAACTCAGAAACAATAAAATCAACAAAATAAATGAAAATTACAGACAAATTTGATTGAGCCTGATCATGAGGTATTTAGGAAATGTGCTACATTTATTACATGCTTTTCGGTGGTTTATAGGAATATATCAGTGATATAAAACTGGTAATTTCACTGTTTGAAACAGTGAAATTACCACTTTGATAATTTCACTGTTTTGAATTTAAGCCCCTTATATTATTTCAGTGAAATACCAGCGTGCACACTTCTGGGTACCAACTTAATGACGTGACGTCGTAAATGACGTCACGTCGTCTTATTATTTGGCGCACTTTTTATTCAGTATTAGGTTTAATGTCTTTTTAAAACGTTTCTTTGCATATAATAAAAGGAAAATTTGTTTAGTTTAGTGTAAGATCAAAATATATTTCACCTTGTGAACACCAAAAGTTCATATTTCACTTGTGGCTGCGCCACTCGTGAAATATACCTTTTGGTGCTCACTCGGTGAAATATATTCCGATCTTACACTGAACTAAACAAATATCCTTTATCTCTCCTGCCCCTAGCACTGGCCTCAGCCATATTCAATCTTCTCCACTTAATCTGCAGGGATGAATGATTTAAAAACAAGAAAAATATAACAACACTGTCGTGAAGGATGGGGCAGCAGGAACCTATACAGCAAATTGCAAGGAGGTTATACAAGGAAACAATCTCCCTTATATTTAACCCAAACAAGGCTTAATTTTGGGAAATGACTCCTCCAGCCCTATATTCTAATATTAGAATATATATTTTATACTTGTACATAAGTAGTTTAAAAGAAATACCAATTTCAATATATCAAGTTTACCTGTCTTGCTAGGAAAGTCATACTGGATCTGTTGACCCAGGCATAGTTGGCTGCTCCAGCCATACCCTTGAGGTAATCTTGACCTTCCTGGGAATTGATCTTGGCACAAGCAAGTTGTCTATCATTTGTTAATATGTTGTCACGCTTCATTACTTTCTCCATCACAACCAGGGAATCTGAAAGTTCAAATGTTTTGTTTATTGCATACATGAAGTTGAGTAGAAATGGCATGGCCTTCTGTTTATTATTTGAGGTGTTTGGCAAGGTTCCTCACTCAGGAAAACCTATTCAGATGAAGCTCCAAAATCAATATGCCTTAAAGGACATTCCACTCAAAAAATAAAACCTTTTTGTGGACTATCTATCTCGAGGGTAACTGTTTACGGCGGTAATGAGGCTCTGCCGAGTTTCTGTTAAACAGTTACCATAGAGCTAGATATTTCCATCTGTACCTGCAGCCAGTGTTTGATTCTTTTTCTAGCATATTAAATGTCATTTATATTCGGAACAGAAATTACAAAAACTGCTATTTTCATTACGCACTTTTTTCTTATAGTAGCGTATGAACTTACAAACTTCATTCATAACGGTAAAATGACATCATCCTTAGAACGCAATTCATTCATAAAAGGTGTGCGACAATGAGGTCATTTAAAGCATGCAACTTGTCTAACATGGGGGGTATAAGACAGGGTTTTCTAGCACCAGTGTTAACAGGATATTATCCTGTCTGATATGCAAGAAAGACTGTTATGTCACACCTATGCCAGTGCTAATGTTAAGGGAAGTAGAACTAGAAGAGTACAGTAGTTTAACCTGTGAAGGCCGGACAAGAATATTCTATTTTTAGCTCTGGCAGCAATTTTGATCAGCAAAGCGGAACGAGCCGGTGATGTGCACAACTAAATATGGTACTGATCACTCCTGTAAAGTTTGGTTGAAATCCCATCAGCAGTTTGACCTGTGAAGGTGGGACAAGATTTTTCTATTTTTAGCTCTGGTGGCCATTTTGTGCAGTGAAGCAGAACGTGCTGGCAATGTGCACAACTAAGGATGGTACTGATCAATCCTGTAAAGTTTGGTTGGAAGCCCACCAGTAGTTTGACAAGTGAAGGCTGGACAATTTTTTTCTCTCTTGTGTTCTGGCGGCCATTTTGTGCAGCGAAGCGAAACGTGCCAGCCATGTGCATACTTAGAGATTGTACTGATCACTCCTGTGAAGTTTGGTTGAAATCCCACCAGAGGTTTGATTTGTGAAAGCCGCAAGATTTTTTTTATTTTTAACTCTGGTGGCCATTTTATGCAGCGAAGCAAAACGTGCAGGTTGCGATCACAACCAGGGATGGAACTGATCATTACAGCAAAGTTTGGTTGAAATCCCACCAGTAGTTAGACCTGTGAAGGGCGGACAAGCTTAATGTGGACAGACGGACATATTGACAGACGGCAAAGGCAAAAACAATATGTCTCCCAAAAATTTTGGGAGACATAATACACGCCTATAAACTGAGTAGCCAAGCTTAAAGTCACTTTTACCTAAAGTTTAATAAAACAAACTATAATTTTCTAATAAACCAAATTCTTCATATAGACTTGATGAATTTATAACCTGTTGCAACTTGATGACCAAGTCCTCGACTGCCACAGTGGATCATTACACACACCTGACCCTTGAACTCTATTCCCATCTTTTTAGCAGCAAAATTATCTATTATTTCATCAACCACCTGAATCTCAGCATAATGATTGCCAGCACCTAGTGTGCCCAACTGAAATAAAATATCTTAACTTTTATCCTCCCAACTTAATATATCTTAATGACAGGAAAAAACCTATAATCTATTTTTATAAACATCATAATCATGGGTTTTCATTTTTTTACTGAGGCAACAAATGTGCCAATGAAAACAACCAATTTGGCCAAAGGTGAAGGAGGATACCTAAAGGCTAAAATTACAACCAATTTTAACAGTATTTTAACCCATGATATGAATTATGAATCTGTTAAAAGGCCCATTATGCCCCAGAAATGCTTTTATTTTTCTTTCTGAAAAGCTTTTTATCTTTAATATCCTATTTTAATTTTCAAACAGTTACTAATAGGCCAATTACTTGAACCATGTTTTGCTTTCATGGCTCAATAGATATGACCCTTTTTAAAGATTGGAAAATATATTTGTGTCTGGGGCATAGTAAGCCTTTAACAATGAAACCCCTGCATTATCTCAACAAATTGTCAGTAAGCATATGGACTTTTCTATCATTCAAGAGTTTAAAGTGACAGTGTGAAGGTCATATGGCGACCTTTCCACCTTCAATATTTGAGGAAGACCACAAATACTTTTGAATATGTGTTATATAAGATATCAGCAGGTACACAAGTAGAATCATCAACCTTCAATATATACTAGCTGGATAGCTTTATTACATGGAAAAATCCCTAGCAAGATTCATACCCATTGGTATAGGTAAGTGATTAAAACTCAGCACTATTAGCACATTGAACGGATGCCCCTGAAAGGGTACTAAGCATCAAATATAAACAATAAATATTGAGTCCCAGTCCTAGTTGAATACATAATGGTTTAATTAAGTATGACACAATATGCCATTTTTGACAGCAGTATTCACTGATTCTAATGCATAAGGTCAAACATGATTAGAAGATCATCAGTTCAAAAAACCTTTTGTTATGTCAGTATTAAGCATATTTCATAGCAGTTACAGAAGAATTTCAATGGATGGCCATAGGTATTTGCTCTAAATCTGATTTTATTTAAGTCACAAAACCTTTTCAATGAATATGGCCAAATTACAAAACAAGTTAGTGTGTCTAATTCAAGTATTGGTCTTTAGAACAAGTTTGACTGTATATAGCATATATCACAGGAATTAATACAACAGAATACCTGTGGAAGACCTCGTTTCTTGGCTCTAGGACTGACTTTAGATGGATCAGCTTGTAACATTCTGCCATATTCTTCACAATGTTCTTTATCTTCAGCCCATATATAACCTAGTTTGTAACAAAATATAACAGTTTTACACTCACTAGTTATAGAATGATCAAGTTTGTATACAGCAGATGATAAGGTAATTATCAGATGTAGGAGAAGAACTAAAATAAGAGGGCCATGATGGCCCTGAGGTCGCTCACCTGTATATAAGGCCCCCCCCCCCCCCCCAATGTTGCAGGGCCAATTTAACCCCAAGGGCTTTTATTTGCACAAACTTGGTAGACACCCATAAGAAGATGTTTCATGCTAAACATCTAAGCTCTAGCTCATTGGGCTTTTTAAAAGAAGATTTTTTTTAAAGTTTTTACTATACACATATACAGTCAAACGTGTATTAAGCGACCGGGCAAGGGAAACACCAAAAACGGTCGCTTAATGAAACGGTCTCTTAAGACAGTCAGCATGATATAAAAGTCAAAATTTATAAATGACATCTTTTTTATTCAATGGAATTGTTTTTCAACTTCATTTTTAAATAAATGTTGAATAATAAGTACGCTCCGATAATCTAAACGGATGCAAATGTAAAAATAACGTTCTGATATTTATTGACAAAACAGTTTTGATCCATAACGTACACGTTTGACATTTTTTCCAGAATTTCTTAACTTCACCGTTGTTTTTCCTTGTCTCCAACACGAAAACCCTAATAGTGAAGATGTTTTCTGTTGTGCATTTTTTCATTTGAAATAAACAGACTACATCTATTTGTTACGATTAATTTAATGGCTGATCAAGTTCAAGGTCAATTCAATGCAGTCTAAATGTCAACAAGCGAAGCGTATACACCATCTCAGTATGGGCGGAGCGTTGCATTGTTTATCCGATATTATTGGATAATACACGTCACGCGTGTACTTAACTTCATTTGCATACGCTAAAACGGTATGGGAAATAGAGTTTTTCACACGTTTATTGTTGTGTTTTGATTGCTGACACTTTTGACATAACGAGGTGGCGTTCTCTGAAAACACAATTACTTGACAGGTAAAAGTGGTCGTTTAATGAAAAGATTGATGTCAATTAGGTGACTAATTAGCGGTCGCTGGTCGCGTTGAGCAAAAGTCGCTTAATACATTAAAGATATAGAGAGAAAATGATCGGGGGAAATTTAAAGTGGTCGTTTAAGACAAAAGTCGCTTAATACACGTGGTCGCATGGGCAAGTTAGACTGTAGTTAAAAATAATGACACCCCTGGGGCCGGGCCAGTTTTTACCCAAGGGCTTTTATTTGAACAAACTTTGTAGACACTTACTAGAAGATGTTTCATGCTTAATATCTAAACCCTAGCTATTTGGGTTTTTTCAAAGAAGATTTTAAGTTTTTGCTATACACATACAAAGAAAATCAATGACCCCCCGGGCGGGGCCAATTTTGACCCCAGGTCTTTTATTTGAACAAATTTTGTAGACACTCACTAAAAGATGTTTCAAGCTTAATATCTTAACTCTAGCTATTTGGGTTTTTTCAAAGAAGATTTTTTAAGTTTTTGCTTTACACATATAAGGAAAATCAATGACCCCCGGGGCGGTGCCAATTTTGACCCCAGGGCTTTTATTTGAACAAACTTGGTAGACACCTATTAAAACATGTTTGATGCTAAATATCTTAGCCATAGCTCTTTGAGTTCTTTAAAAGAAGATTTTTTAAGTTTTTACTATATGCATATAGGGAAAATCAATGACCCCCCGGGCGGGGCCAATTTTGACCCCAGGGCTTTTATTTGAACAACTTGGTAGACACTTATTAGAACATGTTTCATGCTAAATATCTTAGCTCTAACTCTTTTGGTTCTTTAAAAGAAGATTTTTTAAGTTTTTACTATATGCATATAGGGAAAATCAATGACCCCCTGGGGCGGTGCCAATTTTGACCCCAGGGCTTTAATTTGAACAAACTTGGTAGACACCTATTAGAACATGTTTGATGCTCAATATCTTAGCCATAGCTCTTTGAGTTCTTTAAAAGAAGATGTTTTAAGTTTTTACTATATGCATATAGGGAAAATCAATGACCCCCTGGGGCCGGGCCAATTTTGACCCCAGGGCTTTTATTTGAACAAACTTGGTAGACACCCATTAGAACATGTTTCATGCTAAATATCTTAGCTCTAGCTCTTTTGGTTCTTTAAAAGAAGATTTTTTAAGTTTTTACTATATGCATATAGGGAAAATCAATGACCCCCCGGGGCGGTGCCAATTTTGACCCCAGGGCTTTTATTTGAACAAACTTGGTAGACACTCACTAGAAGATGTTTCATGCCAAATAGCTAAGCTCTAGCTCTTATGGTTTTTTAGAAGAAGATATTTTAAGTTTTTTCTTTCGGTTGCCATGGCAACCAGAGTTCTGCATGGAATTAAATTCTTTGAACAATTTTTAAAGGTGACCACCAAAGGAACATTCCTGTGAAGTTTGGATGAAATTGGCTTAGTGGTTTATGAGGAGATGTCATTTAAAGTAAAAGTTTACGGACGGACGGACGGACGCCGGACGAAAAGCGATCACAAAAGCTCACCCTGTCAATTTGTGACAGGTGAGCTAATAAGAGGCATCACTCTATCAAGTCTTAACAAATGTTAATATATATATAATATATATATATTTGAATAAGTCACCATCATTAAAAGGGGGTGATCCCTAAGAAACTAAAACTGTAAATGAAAACTGTGGATTTGGTTTAATTGAGTCTGTTTATGAGGGATAATGGAAAAGTGCAACATCCCTCATGCCTACAAGGGACCCACTTTAGAAGTATTCAGTCTTCAACAATTTATGTGCTGAAATAAATTATCCTGAAGAAAAAGCTGTACATTTTTCAGGAATTAGTTTTTCTTTATATTATTACAGATTCTTGTGTCTGCCAATACTGCAATATTTTCTTTAATATTTCATCAAAATATAAACATACACTAGAAACATGATTTCAGAAATTTAAAACTTTTATATAAAATTCATGATATATGACATACAGTCGACTCTCGTTATTTCGAAGTTATCGGGACCGTCCAAAAATATCAAGATAACGAAATGTCGAGATAAACGTATAAGGTCTGAACAAGGCAGTAAGTGATTTTTACAAAGGCATGTGCAAATAAATTAAAAGTATGATATCCTTTGTCTTGTTTTCTTGAGCCTAATATCCCAAAGTCGATATTTAACAAAGTTAAATTAGCGGATGTTTACCAGCAGAAATACGGGAGTCTGTGATAAAAAAACATAGTGAGGTTTACTCAGTAATACACCAGTATAGTGAAAACCTTTTTTAGTGCGGTCGATCCAGATATCCTCCCTAGTTGGTTATCGGACCATTCTCGAGATAGTTCTACCGCTGTTTGATATTTTTTTCAATGTTGTAAAACAATATTGCAACGATCTATACCGAACACTTTTTCATTTACATTGAAAGTCACAATAAAGTTAATACAGTGTTCGAATATTTTATATATAGCGGAAGATTCATTCATTTTTGACATAAGTCAATCAATAAGTTAATAAGGTAAACTTTTATAAACAAAGCTCGACTTGTTACAAACATGGTCATCATTATGACACATGCCATTAAGTGATTATCATCTGGTTTGTGTTGGTCACACCTCTGCGGGGGAGAGACGAAAAATTATTATTCGAGATAAAGAAAGGATAATAGCGTGAAAATTACTGTCGGGGGCTGAAATTTTACTTTGAGATACTGAAAATATCGAAATAAAAATATCGAGATAAACAAATATTTCGAATATAGATAAAGAAGGAAGAAAATCAGGACTTTCAAAATTTCATCGAGAAAACGAAATATAGAGAAAAGCGATGTCTAGATAACGATAGTTGACTGTATATAACATCTACCTTCTCTCAATGACCAGTCCATTCCCATCTCTAAAGCTTCTTCAAGATCTCTGAAATACATAAAAATAGAGTCATCTTTAACAGGTGGTTAAAGGTTTTTTTTAGCAATTACAAATGTATTCAGAGTTCATTTGTGAAGATAATTTAATAGTTGATAATTAAGAGCTGTTTCTTCTAAGCATACAAAAATTACCAAGTTCAAAATGCCACAATACACAAATTGTACCCAGATCTACTGAAACGGTATTTGTTCTGCACATACACAGGTCATTTTCTGTTGAAATGGACAGGAATCAAATGAGCCGTGTCATGACAAAACCAACATAATGGGTTTGCGACCAGCATGGATCCAGACCAGCCTGCGCATCCGCGCAGTCTGATAAGGATCCATGCTGTTTGCTATCAGTTTCTCTACTTGTAATAGGGTTTGTAAGCGAACAGCATGGATCCTGATCAGACTGCGCGGATGCGCAGGCTGGTCTGGATCCATGCTGGTCGCAAACCCATTATGTTGGTTTTGTCATGACACAACTCATTAACTAATTTGAATAAAGCTTTATATTTTTGCCTGTATATCTGTTGTTTACAAAATTATTGTTTGAATTTTTGGTAAAAATAACACTTGCAAAATACTGTGTGAAGGAAATTTGTTCGTGTTATTTCTAAAGAGCTACAGGTTCATGCCCTAAACCAATAATAAACCGTTAAGATCCTGCTTAAAATATCAGCATAATATTTTGTTATATACATTATTCATGACTTATGCATTAAATAAAAGAGGCATTCTATATTAAAATTATTTTGAGAATTGACCATAAGGTTATGAAAATAACATAATTTTACTGTAAATAACTTTAAAAAGATAAATCTTTATATCCTTTCATGTTCATTTAAAAGCTGAAAAGGGTTAAATAATGGGGAAAAACTACACAAACAAACAATAGAATGTTTATGCTACATCTTTTTTGGGTTATTTCAATTACAAGAATGGTAAGGGTTAAATTACCAAACATATATGCAATCAATCTTTAGCAATATACATACAAACTATTCATTTATATATACATAACACACTTTCAAGATTTCTATTTTTAGTAACTTTGTTCTTTTTTAAAGATATACTATAATAGTTGCACACTTACTTTGCATTCATGGGTATAATTCCTTTGGAGCCTACACCTACAGGTATATGATCAAACAGGCACTGTGCCAGCTGTTCCTTCACAGGTTGTACATCTTTCTCTGTGAGGTTTGTCCTTAACAAACGTACACCACAGTTTATATCAAAACCCACACCACCAGGGGAGACAACAGAGTCAGGATTTCCCATGTCAAATGCTGCCATGTTCCCTTTAACACAAGCACAAACATATTATGAATTTGTAATTATTATACATTATATTATAATTAAAATAAAATAAACATTTCATTAGAAAAGTGTCACATTAAAAGTGACCTTTTGTAAAAAGAGCATATTATTTTAACAAAATATTCTAATTTGAACTTTTTCCCTTTCTATAGCAGAGCATTTTTAAATATTTTTTATATTTATGCTTCTACATAGTTTTTTTTTTAGATTTTCTTATGTTTGTTTATTGATTTTTTTTTCTTTTAGTTTGACGTCACACCAACACAGTATAGGTCACATGGCAACTTTCCAGCTTTACATGTAGAGGGGCGTCCGTGGCTGGGTGGTTAAGGTCGTTGACTTCAAACCACTTGCCCCTCACCACTGTGGGTTTGAATCCCGACAGGGACTTTGGATTCTTTCATGTGAGGAAGCTATCCAGCTAGCTTACGGAATGTCGGTGGTTCTACTCAGGTGCCTGTTCGTGCCTGAAATAATGCACAGAAGGGCACCTGAGGTCTTCCTCCACCACTAAAGCGTCACGATATGACCTATACTGTGTTGATGTGTCGTAAAACCCAATCAAACAAACTGGTAGAGGAGGACCTCGATGCCCTTCTGTACATTATTTCAGGCACAAAAGGGCACCCGAGTAGAAACACTAATGTTCCAAAAGCTAGCTGGATAGCTTCCTCACATGAAAGAATCCAAAGTCCCTGTGGGGATTTGATCCCACAGCATTTAGGTGAAAGTGGTTTGTAATTAAAGACCTACAACCATTGGCCACAAACAACCCCATTCAAGTTTATCAATTTATATATAAATTGTCAGTCAGACCTAAACAATATTACACTGAAGACTATTGCAAAAGAAGATGTTACCTATAGCAAAACCATATCCACTATGTACATCTGGCAGACCTATAGATCTCTGAAAATATAAGCATATCCTTCCATATAACAATTTCATAAATAGTCATGTATGATCAGCAAATAAACATTGTGACCAATATTGACATCAATAGGTTATAAATCATAAATTCAATAAAATACATTTTCACTATGGTTAATAAATAAGAATGTTACTTATGTACAGAAAAAAATTCAAAATAGTGAGTTCAAATGTCTCAGCAAAATCATATTACCTCTGTGTTTCTAAGGCCATCCTTAAAAAAATGTTCGTTTGCAGTAACACGACCGACTCACAAAATTTGCCCCTACTCAAAATTTTTTTTCATGGTCTGGATAAAAAAAATTATATATTTTTTATGAATCAGAAAATTATGCCTTGTGCTTTGTTTTCGTTCTTTTAAAGGTTAATAGAAGAAATAAAATGTAGGTCTTATTAAATTAGAATTCAGTTATCAATTTATTAATTGTTACCAGATTATCAAAGCATATATTGTCCAGCATAAAAAAAACCAACATTTTTTTAAGGATGGCCTAATGGCATTTTCTTGCCATAACATTACTTCCACAGATCTATTTGTTGAGCTTTGACTATTACTGGTAAATTAATTCAGATACACTGTCAAACTTTGACTTAACACATACAAGAGGGCTATGATGGCCCTGAGGTCGCTCACCTGTATATAGGCCCTCCAACCCCCCCCCCCTCCCCCAATGTTGCAGGGCCAACTTAACCCAAGGGCTTTTATTTGCACAAACTTTGTAGACACCCATAAGAAGATGTTTCATGCTAAACATCTAAGCTCTAGCTCATGGGGCTTTTTAAAAGAAGATTTTTTAAAGTTTTTACTATACACATATAGTAAAAAACAATGACACCCCTGGGTCCGGGCCAGGGATTTTATTTGAACAAACTTTGTAGACACTTACTAGGAGATGTTTCATGCTTAATATCTAAACTCTAGCTATTTGGGTTTTTTCAAAGAAGATTTTAAGTTTTTGCTATACACATATAAAGAAAATCAATGACCCCCCGGGGCGGGGCCAATTTTGACCCCAGGTCTTTTATTTGAACAAACTTTGTAGACACTCACTAAAAGATGTTTCATGCTTAATATCTTAACTCTAGCTATTTGGGTTTTTTCAAAGAAGATTTTTTAAGTTTTTGCTATACACATATAAGGAAAATCAATGACCCCCTGGGGCAGGGCCAATTTTGACCCCAGGGCTTTTATTTGAACAAACTTGGTAGACACCTATTAGAACATGTTTGCTGCTCAATATCTTAGCCATAGCTCTTTGAGTTCTTTAAAAGAAGATTTTTTAAGTTTTTACTATATGCATATAGGGAAAATCAATGACCCCATGGGGCGGGGCCAATTTTGACCCCAGGGCTTTTATTTGAACAAACTTGGTAGACACCCATTAGAACATATTTCATGCTAAATATCTTAGCTCTAGCTCTTTGGGTTCTTTAAAAGAAGATTTTTTAAGTTTTTACTATATGCATATAGGGAAAATCTATGACCCCCTGGGGCAGGGCCAATTTTGACCCCAGGGCTTTTATTTGAACAAAGTTGGTAGACACTCACTAGAAGATGTTTCATGCCAAATATCTAAGCCCTACCTCTTATGGTTTTTTAAAAGAAGATATTTAAAGTTTTTTCTTTCGGTTGCCATGGCAACCAGAGTTCTGCATGGAATTAAATTCTTTGAACAATTTTTAAAGGTGACCACCAAAGGAACATTCCTGTGAAGTTTGGATGTAATTGGCTTAGTGGTTTATGAGGAGATGTCATTTAAAGTAAAAGTTTACAGACGGACGACGGACGGACGGACGCCGGACGGACGCCGGACGAAAAGCGATCACAAAAGCTCACCCTGTCACTTTGTGACAGGTGAGCTAAAAAATACCAACAATAAATACAACTGTTGACACAGATAGGTAAATTACCCCAACAATGCCTGGTAAGGCAGCAACATTTCCTATCTGTTTCATTCCAGGTAGAAAACCACCATATCCACCACTCCTACATGACTGCTTCAGTTCATCAAACATTAGTTTCTCCAAAAAATCATTCACAAAGAACAGCCCTTCCACCTGCAAAACAAATATTCTTCATATAACCTAAGATCTACAAAACAAGAACAATCATTCAATCCCACTTCTGTGTGAAAAGTAAGTTTATTTACTCCTGCCATACCTTAAACCTTTATTTGTGTAGTGATTAAGAATTTCTTAACTTGCACCATTTGTCTAATGCATATTTAACCCATTACTTCATGAGCATTTTGTTAAAAATGGCTGTTTTCATTGAAAAGTCTCCCGTTACAAGTTCAAATTGCTATAATACTATAAAAACTGCTTCAACACTAATCAAACTTGGCACATATGTTGACTGGACCATTGCCCTTGCAACAACATGCTCAGGCTTAAATTTTCTGTTACCATGGCAACAAGGGGACATCTCAAAATTGCCAAAAATCACTATTTTGCGTTGATTTTTTCCATTATAATTGATTTCAAAGTGCTGCAACTTCTCAATGGATTGAGATAGTGTCAAATGCTTTTCAGCGATGGTTACACGTTACCTTATGATCGACCTGGGGTCATTTATAGCCTCTCACAAGTCCAAAATTTTCTTGACGATGAGGGGGACTCCGCCCCCTTCAAACCCCCCAAACAGAAGGGGCATATTCCCCTTCTGGCAACCCCCTGATGTATCTTTTGGTTGGGGGGCCGCGCCGAAAAAGTGGTCACTTTTTTTAACAACATTTCTCAAACAAAAACAAGTGTTTAGGGCCTAAATAATGCATTTTTTCACCATTTGAGACAACAAAAAGGGGGGGGGGGGGTGAAAAAGGCGTTAAAAGGCGTGTATATGAAGTAATGGGTTAATTAATCTCTTGACTTTTACCATTTGTGTACTACATAATTATGTTATACAACCTTACATTGTACCATTTGTGTAATGCATACCTAATACAACTTAACTACCACAATCTGTGTAATACAAAACAAAAACAACCTTAACTTGTGTCATTTGTGTAATGCGCATTTTATACAACCTTTACTTGCACAAATTGTGTACATGTAATACAAACCTAATACAACTTCAACTTGTGTCATTTGTGTAATGCATATGTTATACAACCTTTACTTGCACAAATTGTGTAATACAAACCTAATACAACTTCAACTTGTGTCATATGTCTAACGCATATGTAATACAACAATAACTTGCACTATCTGTTGAACACATATGTAAATTAACCTTACTTTGTACCATTAATTTTGTGTTATATATATATGTCATTTAACCCGAGCCTGCAGCATTTGTGTAATGCAAACTTAATCACTCTTTAATAATACTAGCTAAAACAAGATGTAACTAAACTTATTGACTTACATTCATGTTGTCTACAAAGCCTTTCTTTATTCTCCATGCACAGTTTCCAACCTTCTCCAGATACTTCAGTTCATCCTGGTAAGTCCTTACTACCATTTTGTCGTCTCAAAAAGTTGCTGTCAAAGAAATAATTTTAACTCTTAGTCAGCCCTTTATATATTATAATGGTTATTTAGGTATGTTATAAAATTAGAAATTCTGTTTGCTCTTTAGCTGTAACAGATTTTCTTTAATGTAGATTATCTACTACTTTTTGGTAGCTATTTAAAACATTTTTTGTATATGTATTTTATAGAATTGAGAAAGATACATGTAAGTCTGAAATCGAATAATGTATTATAAATACATCAGAAAAAGTTCAGAAAAACTTGAGCATTTTTTTTTCAAGCACTGAAAATTCAAATCCAGCTAGGAAAACAAATAATGTTGATAAAGGTAAAGCACTGATGGTACCAATGTAGATTGGTACAATAAAGTGGTCAGTCCCAAAGTTTCATAAATTCATACATTTTTAAAAAATATATGTTTTTATATAGTTTATTTAGTTTAAAACCTTTGCTAAAAGCAAACTTCAAATAAACTCTATATTATTAAACCAATCAACACCATCAGTGAATAATACAAGAGCATTAATGTTATGATAGATAACATGTGTTGCTGAATGACAACCAATTGTATGTTACAGCTAAATTATGTTAATTCAAGGGCCATAACACAAACAAAAATCATTCAACTGGAAAACCCATCATATATGTGCAAGTACTTGAGGTACCGATCAATCCTGGATAGTTTCATTGATATTGCTTGAGAGAAGTCGTCAGGACAAAACCTTAAAAAGATTTTTTAAAAAATCATTAAAGGGCCATAACTCAAAAATCATTGACCCAGAAAATGAACAAGAGGGCCATGATGGCCCTGAGGTCGCTCACCTGTATATAGGCCCCCCCCCCCCCCCCCCAACGTTGCAAGGCCAATTTAACCCAAGGGCTTTTATTTGCACAATCTTGGTAGACACCCATAAGAAGATGTTTCATGCTAAACATCTAAGCTCTAGCTCATTGGGCTTTTTAAAAGAAGATTTTTTTTAAGTTTTTACTACACATATAGTTAAAAACAATGACACCCCTGAGGCCAGCTGGCCAGTTTTGACCCCAGGGCTTTTATTTGAACAAACTTTGTAGACACTTACTAGAAGATGTTTCATGCTTAATATCTAAACTCTAGCTATTTGGGTTTTTTCAAAGAAGATTTTTAGTTTTTGCTATACACATATAAAGAATATCAATGACCCCCGGGGCGGGGCCAATTTTGACCCCAGGTCTTTTATTTGAACAAACTTTGTAGACACTCACTAAAAGATGTTTCATGCTTAATATCTTAACTCTAGCTATTTGGGTTTTTTCAAAGAAGATTTTTTAAGTTTTTGCTATACACATATAAGGAAAATCAATGACCCCCGGGGCGGTGCCAATTTTGACCCCAGGGCTTTTATTTGAACAAACTTGGTAGACACCTATTAGAACATGTTTGATGCTAAATATCTTAGCCATAGCTCTTTGATTTCTTTAAAAGAAGATTTTTTAAGTGTAACCTGTGTATCGTTTTCTGTTTATCACTGGTATATTGTTTCCTCCGTGTTATGTTGTATTTGGTTGGTATTCGCCTAACTGTTGTGTCGTCGTTTGTTTGCCTAACTGTGGTAATGTTTTGTATAGTCTGTTTCGTATGAGAGGTCACTGTAAGTTGAAAGGTTGTATGAATGTGTTCACTTATATTTCACGTGCATGACCCTAAAATCCCCGCGAAACATTTTCTTGCTTAAGTAAAATATTTCCCTTCGCCAGTTCCACATTATACGAGTAACTGATAACTTACTTTACAGTATAGTTGTTGATAGTAATAGTTACTTATTAGTAAACTTGAACATCATTTATGGAAAGTTCTTGTATGCTGATCCTGGTAAGAATTTATATATTTCTAATGTCATATTTATTCTTTTCCATTGATGAATTGGATGAAATGTGTAATTTTATTATTTTGTAAATCAATTATTTGTAATTCCTTTGTATTTTGTTTGTAGGCTCGTTTTTTGTATGTCCGACAATAAAATGATGAAATAGAAGCAAGTCTTCAATCATTTATCCCCGGTTACAAAAGTTTTTACTATATGCATATAGGGAAAATCAATGATCCCCCGGGGTGGGGCCAATTTTAACCCCAGGGCTTTTATTTGAACAAACTTGGTAGACACTTATTAGAACATGTTTTATGCTAAATATCTTAGCTCTAACTCTTTTGGATCTTTAAAAGAAGATTTTTTAAGTTTTTACTATATGCATATAGGGAAAATCAATGACCCCCTGGGGCGGGGCCAATTTTGACCCGAGGGCTTTTATTTGAACAAACTTGGTAGACACCTATTAGAACATGTTTGATGCTCAATATCTTAGCCATAGCTCTTTGAGTTCTTTAAAAGTTTACGGCCGGACGCCGGACGGCCGGACGCCGGACGAAAAGCGATCACAAAAGCTCACCCTGTCACTTTGTGACAGGTGAGCTAAAAATGATAGGCACAACAAAACTTGGTACCGATCATTCATGAACTGCACCAGTTGTTTAGTCTGCTACAATTATGTCAAGGTTATAATTAAAACCACTTTCCAATTTTAACTGGGGTCAACCTTTTACATTCAGTTACTCATGGCATAATAATTATATTCCGTACATACAACATTATCTATATACCTTCATAAATCTTTAACTTTAATATTAGAAACAGTCAAATATGTTAAAGAATTCACCTGGAAGGAATATTCAGTGTAAATATGCTTTACAGTAACAGATCTATTTTACCCAAATGGTAAACATAAAAGAATTGCAACATGCAATTAAATAATATTTGATCGTCCCAGGAGAATCGTAAATCTATTGAGATAGGAAATTTTCTTTCAATTTCAAATCAATTAAGTTTTGTTGTCAAGGTAGGTGCTTTTTTCCTTTACATTTGTATTCCAATTTTTTTCTTAAAGAAACATATGAATCAGTTATTTTTCTTTACTAAGTTAAATAAAACTGTTTAAATATCTAAATACTTTTACATCGGATAACAATATACAATGTATATATTTGTATTTGACAAGTTTAAGCTTGTAAATTTGGATATTAGACTACTCTGAATGAGATCTTTGCAGATTTTAGAAAATTTATGTCAGAAAATTTAAGTTTTATGTCAGAAAATATGACACTATAAAAATCACTCTAAACAAAATCATATTTTCTAAACATTTCAATCATGTTTTCTAAACATTTCAATCATATTTTCTGAACATTTCAATCATATTTTCTACTCATTTTCAGCATTAATTTTACTGGTCAATCTAAACCATAGAAGTTCATCATGGGAAATTCAGCTAGAAAAACGGAAGAAAATACTGGCTGTGGGAATTGCTCTAAGATAAGGAGGGTACTAAATGTTTCCGAGTTACAAATTGGCCAACATATCTGTGAACCTGGGAGGAAAAAATGTACCTACAAGGAAAATAGACACAGTCTGAAAGCTCAATACTTCCATCATGCTATAATTGGTGAAATAAAACAGCGTAACAATTACAAAGTTACGCTTGTTCTAATGCATTACACAGATGTAACCGGATTGAAGAAGGGGTCAATAAAAATAACAGAGGAGGAAAGAGATCTGAAATATGATGAAATATACATTGTCCAATATAAATATCCAAAATATCCTGCCACAGAAATAGTACAAAGAGCCACAGGAAAACACAGAAATACCTTTGGGAGATATAATCTTTTTGTAAGCAATTGTGAACATTTTGCAACTTGGTGCGTTCTCGGAAGCAAGGAGTCTTTTCAAATTGATCAGAAATGGAGATTTTTTCTGTTTCCTTTAAAGATAAGTTCAGGAATGGCAGGGATCCTTTCACAGCTTCTCCTAGAAACATTAAGATTCTTTGCTTTTTTTGCATCCAGTGAAAATACGTTTAATTCTATGTATGGGCCTGGCTTTACACTTCTTGTCATCGGAGCATTCTATTTAATACTTTTATTTGGCAGATACCTTCACCTTAACAATAAATACAGGAACTACAGAAGCGTATGTCAACATTGTTATGAGGAAAAACAGATGATCTTATTAATTAAACTATGTTGGTTCACTTTATCTGGACTTTTATTTTATGTTATCACAGATGCCTGTACACCACGGTTCCGGGTATGGCCAGTGACAATAATATTACATGCGATATTTACCAACCTTAACATGTTTTATCGTTGGTTACATGGGGAACTAAAATCCCCGCACCTGCGTTGGTCTACTAGAGTCAAACAATTGTCAGACATTAAAAGAGGTTACATCATAACATTTAGACATTTTATATTTCAACAATTTGCCCTTATCACAGAAATTCACTCAGAAACAAGTGAAATATCCATAGTTTACTATAAAGGATTTTTCAACATCAAACTGACCGAAGACAAAATCTGTTGGTCTGAAAGCTCAATTTGGCTACAAACACTGACAAAACTTCCAACATATCAAGCAAATCAAATAATTTCAAGGATGAAAAGCAGGTTGGGTGAGAGAAAATGGCATTGGCGTTGTAATAGATCTGACCATGTATGTTACTGGGCATCAATTAAACAGAAACACTGGAAATATTATAACCCAGTACACAACAACGAGACATTAGATCAAACAGAGGAGGACTATGTTAAAAAGAGTTCCCTGGAAGTTGAAACTATTGTTGTCAACCTTAGAACTGAAATCGAAGAAGGTGATGTGATAGAATATTATATCAACAGTACTGGTAGAAAAAAAGAACATGGAACAGGGATCATTACTGAATTGAAGAATGCACATGAAAGCAAAAATGGAGATGATCGCATCTTTACACTTGTTTTGGTTACACAGAAACATAGAATTGCTGAAGAGGCTGATATAACTGTAGATTTGAACACGGATACTATTAAGGTAAAAAAGTTTCATCCAGTGCACTGTCGTAGCATGCAGGAACGAAAAAAACAGGCAAAAAGGGCTCAAGAAATCAGAGAGCAAAACAAAGAATTCAACATCATGAAATTTTGTGTTTTAAAGGAAAAACAAACAAAAGAGCAAAAAGACATTGAAAAGAAAGAAAAGTGATTAACTTTTGATTCATGTGATTAAACCTATTAAAATAAAAGAGCTAGCCTTTACTCAGAAGTTTATGGAGTTCATGAGCTTTTAAATTCACTTGACATGCATTTACACTTTTATAATCTGTAACCTGTTCTATTAAGCCTTTGTTAGACTCTGTAAAATTATCATCAGAATATCAGACTTACAAAAGACTAGTTGTGGGTAGTTACAAAGGTTTGAATATACAAGAAGTATGTCACCAAAGACCATACATCCATGGTACCTACTGTGTGTGAATGTCTCAGAATATACTGTGTGTGAATGTCTCAGAATATGTTGTGTAATATCCCAGTAAGCAGTGTTGCTTGTGAGCGAGGGTTTTTCAACCCAGAACAGGATAAAATCCAGATTGAGAACCAACCTCAATAATGTAACTGAAAATATCTGAGGATGGGCCATCCCTAAAAAATTTCAATATCGAAAAGGATGTCATAGTCTGAAAAAAAGTAAGAAAATGTTGAGCAAATTGACTGTTGTTGATGAAATTCAGTGACTGTCTGACTGAAGTGTTTGTTACTTTCATGTAAGAACTATATCAAGTATGCTACTTGACTACTATGTGCATAATGATATGTGTTGTTGAGATCTAATGATTACTTTGTTTTATCATGTTACCGGTATATAAAATCTATTATAATATGCGTATGATAAATTTTGACGAGGATTCATTGAAATAGTATTTAATAAGGTTATATATATATCATAGAGATGTTTAAGTACACATTTTCTTCATTTTATATGCCATACATATTATCAAATGCCTGTATACTTGTTTCACATTGTTTTTATTATGTCCATGAAATAAAATTGAAAAATAAATCCAATGTTATAGCTTGATTTGATGAGATGTTACACGGAAGCATCACTTCTCCGTAAATTTCAAAACTTCTCCCTATTTTTCCTGATGGGAGAAGTGACTTCTCCCTAAATTTTCAGTCCAAGGTATTCCCTGGTATACAAACGGAAAAAAAAACAAAACGAAATCATGAGTATACCAGCTCCTCCTTGTTCTGTTAAGACGTATCAACAGGAATTTATGTGCTGTTACATGTAACTAGTGTCAAAGATTGCATCATATTATATGTGGAAACACAGGTATGATCTGTTTTAAATTTTACTTTGGTAAAAAGTATTTTGAAAATGATTTAATAATTATGCTTTTTAATATGTTATTATTTGTTTGATTGATTCCAAATTTTTGAACAGAAAAATATATTTGAACACACTGACGGTGCATGGGCAATTATTTCGTTAAAAAAAAATTCTGTTAGATTGTTCTAACTCAGTTTAACGCTTGCATTTGAATTAGCCAATCAGATTTCACGCACTTTACGGCCGCCATTTGTTTATCAGCTGTAAAAGGAATTGAAATACATGACAGGATTTAATCATGATTTTTCGGATGTGACAGTTTAATTATTTTGACAAAAGGTATTTATTTTTTAGTTTTGTTCATATTATGTAAATACACGCTGTCTTCATTGTTTTTCATTCCGCCTGATTTTCTGGCGGAACATGCTATGGGTTTTTGAGCAATTTCGATATGACGTTGCTTTGCCCAGAAGCAAAAATATCTCAAAGCGACGTCATATTTATAGGACTAGTGTTCAGTGTTGTTTTGTTTGTTCACCATGATCCCAGTCTCTTGTAATTTTGTTTTCAGAAAACACTTAATGAAAAAAAAATTACAAAAAACTGTTTGTAGACAAGTTAACGTGAAGCCAGTTCGACTTGGGACCGGAGTGTAGTTGGCGACTGGTTTGAATAATGTTTCCCATCCGACAACTCTTCCTTTTAGCTTCAATAATAAATGGTTTGTACATCTAGGAAAGAAAAAATATTGCCTTGACAACCGGTTATTTTCTTAGCATATGTCCGTTTGTTTAATTTAAAGGGCTTGAGCACTGACTGTAAAATCAACTTACCTAAATATTATAGAAAATGTGCTGATAATGCGCAAATGCCGACTGTGGCACCGGTGTTCGTAAGAAAGTAAAAGACGTAGAAATTACAATCGATACGATAATCATATATGTAATATGTCCCATACGGTGTGTTTTTATTTATTTCGTGCGCATGAGATACTATGTCTAATATGAAAAAGGCAAAGCCTCAAAGCGAGCTCGATGTACTTTTGACGAGAAATAGTATTAAATAATCGCGCATTTTATTTCAAATGCATTGACGAGTGCGTGTGAGGTTACACGTACTGTGTTAAATATAGCTCCGCCCCTCACACTGGCCATAGCTTTCGCAGAAGCGGTGGGTCTACCGGTGCGGCGATGGAGATTTCGTCGCAGAAGCGGTGGAAAAACATGGCTGTCGGATAGTTTTTTGCTGGTGTCGGTAAGTTTATGACTTATTTGTACGTTATGTTTTTATGTTCTGCTGATAACACCTAGTGAGACTGGAGCCCACATATGTACTCTTCCAACTAATTACACGCATGGGGTGCAAATCATGACCAGTTATGCAAACACTTCTGTACAGTTTGACGAGGGGACGCCACTTTTGCCTAATTTTGTTTATAACACTTCATATGTACTCAAAACTACCCTTAGATACACGGGCATCGCATCGTATGTATGATAATTACACAAAACAACCATATTTTGGAACTTTTGGAAATTGATATTACCATTTTAATAAAAGAATTGACAAAAAATGATTACAACGCAGACGGCGGTGGATTCGATTGCAACGCAGTGCGGTGGGCCCGATATCATTTATGTCTTTTTTTAACGTTAAAGTCACCGACACTTAGGAGTTGAGCTCCAAACACCTAAAAATACAAATGAAATATATATTTGTTAATCCTGACACATATAGTTGTTATATATATCAATGAAGGTAAATATACGCTTTTTTGAAAACAAAATGACTCTCAGATATGCTGTATATAAATGCGCTTTGAACCAGCCTTGTTATAATCGGAGTCATTCTGGATAATGCGGGTTCTCACATTCATAGCGCACCTCATTTAAATACGACAGAGCTGAGTGCCACGACTGAATTTGTTGAAATATTTTGTAAATAAATAAACCGGCGATAGTTAAAATTTTTTCACAAAGTGTGTTTGTATATTGAAGATGAAGCGTTTATATTGTTGAAAAAGAAAAATATGATGAAAATATATAATAAGTACCAGTAATATATGTTTAATAGATGACTCGTGTCACCTGTTGACAAAAGGATAATGCGAAAATATTGGAAATAGAATCAATTACAAGGTGATTTGAAGGATGTGCGATTTTTTTCTAACACATTTTTTTTTATCTTGTGTATATTTTTGACGTATAAATATTTACTTTTTCTTCAAAACGGCATATATATAAGTTTTATTGAAATATATGATAAGTATATGGGCTGGAATTAATAAATTTGGAAATGTATTTATGTTTTACTTTTACCACGGTACATGTTCCTCCTTGTTAATTTGTGTCATCCTCAGTAGAGTTAAAATACAAACATAGAAATTTGATTGTTAATGTCTGGCAGAGCCAGACATCTTTATTGTCTAAGAATAGATTATGATATAATCAAAAGATTAATCAGAAACTTCAAATACGCTTTCATATAGAAAACAATTGTAGCAAACGTTATAACAATAGATGACACAAAGTTGGACAACAAAAACCACCAAACTGTCCAACCAAAGGAGGAACGACAGGCCGTGAAAGCAACGAAAACGAAAGAGCGACAATTTAAATTCTGACTTAACAATTTACAAACAAAAATATACGATAATTTGAACGCGTGCATGTGCAATTCGCTCATAGGCCAATACACAACATTTTGGTCTACCTTTTTTTGTCAGGTATTTTGTAATATTTTATTTCAAAATGCATTCTATACTTTTTTATATTACATGCAGCCTATTTATAGCTTTGTACACGTTAAATAAAAATTTGATATAATTTAATGTTAATATGTAAAGTTATATTAAAAAAATGAAAAAAAAAAAAAAATAGATAAAGCAATAAAGCTAAAGTTAGTGTCACTATCAACAGATCTCATCTCATCTCATCTCATCAATGTATTAAAATTTTATCACAAACTGTTCATAAGTAAAAATGAAGTTCAAAATATATTTATGGCCAATGTGTTAGTAATACGTAGTTAATGATGACTCTTGTGTGTTAAACTACAAAAACATTTTGATTTGTTAAATTGATAGATTAAATTCAATATACGAGTTAATGCTGTATATTAAATTCATTATACGAGTTAATGCTATATAATTAACATTTCAGCGATACATAGTTAACATACACTTCAATATGTTGAACTAGTGTCCAAACTAGGATTTAATTTATCAAGACATTTTATAAGTAAAATGAATGCATAGTTTATAAAGAAAATACAAACTTTAAGTATTTTTAATTCAATTTATAAGTTAAAATTACCTTTAAGCACTTCATAGTTAACATACACCCCAATATGTTAAACTAGAATCTAAAACATGGATTGTTTATAAAATTATATTGATAAGGTACATGATGCATAGATTGAAAATAGAAAAAAAAACAAGATAATTTTATAATTAATGTATACATTATAATTAATTTTTAAACAACCCATACATAGAGGATATTGAATAAGTGTAAGTTCAATACTGAATTTAATGCACGAGTTGAATAAATTACATTATGCGAGCCTCTGGCGAGTGCAATAAATTCAGTAATGAACTTACACTTATTCAATATCCTCTATTTATCACATACCCAAAATAGAGACCGTTAAAAGTGAAATAAGAGTCATTTTTCAATGACACGCCTATAGTATAACGCTTATATTTAGCGCGTCTTTACACTATGTTAGCATTACGCTAATGACGTCACGTCAAAATATATGCACGGCCGTGCCATACCATATTTATGGAGTCGCAAAATCGGCACGGGTGTGTGAGTTAACATACACCCCAATATGTTAAACTAGTATCTAAAACAGGGATTGTTTTATAAAAACATATTTATAAGGTACATGATGCAAAAAAGCGTATATTTACTTTCATTGATATATAACAACTATATGTGTTAGGATTACCAAATATATATTTCATTTGTATTTTTAGGTGTTTGGAGCTCAACTCCTAAGTGTCAGTGACTTTAACGTTAAAAAAAAGACATAAATGATATCGGGCCCACCGCACTGCGTTGCAATCGAATCCACCGCCGTCTGCGTTGTAATCATTTTTTGTCAATTCTTTTATTAAAATGGTAATATCAATTTCCAAAAGTTCCAAAATATAGTTGTTTTGTGTAATTATCATACATAAGATGCGATGCCCTTGTATCTAGGGGTAGTTTTGAGTACATATGTAGTGTTAAAAACAAAATTTAGCAAAATTGGCGTCCCCTCGTCAAACTGTACAGAAGTGTTTGCATAACTGGTCATGATTTGCACCCCATGCGTGTAATTAGTTGGAAGAGTACATATGTGGGCTCCAGTCTCACTAGGTGTTATCAGCAGAACATAAAAACATAACGTACAAATAAGTCATAAACTTACCGACACCAGCAAAAAAATATCCGACAGCCATGTTTTAACCACCGCTTCTGCGACGAAATCTCCATCGCCGCACCGGTAGACCCACCGCTTCTGCGAAAGCTATGGCCAGTGTGCCCCTGTCGTTAAATGAATAACGAGTTTTGAAAACGTTGATAAAACTTTGTTTATTTTATTTCACTCTATAATTTTTCAAGCGAAATAAAGATTATTAAAAGTGAAATAAATGTAAAACTTAAAACGTTTGCGACATTAAAATAGCGTACTTGATTTGTTTGTTTTGCACGTGCTGTTTGGCGCTACATTGTGACGTCACGTAAACAATACTTTAAACGTCTGTACAGAGTTAACGACCGAATAAAAGATATTGGTGTTCGGATTCATTTTCTTAGTTAGACCATTTTCTTTCATTCTAGATAGTTTTCACAACAAAATTCGACAAAAAATTGTTTTAATTTATCAGATTTTTCAAACAAAATGGCGCCTTCAATTTTCATTTTACATTTCCGTTCGATATTTAATCGACAGCTTCCGTTATTCTGGTTTCCTGTCCAATTATGGTTCCCATAGACGTGCGCGGGTGACCAGTCTACACATCCGTTTTCAGTCAGAATTCCTCAGTTTTTATAGTTATCTTTAAATTCGAAAGGTTGCGATGTGTCCAATTCGGTACTTCGAACGAAAGTTTTCAAAACCATCACTTAGCAGGTACTCGCGTTACCGTAAAGCTCGCTTTGCGAGCAGGCCCTTCGGGCCAGCTCGTCGAGCTCGCTAATATGAAAAAGGCAAAGCCTCAAAGCGAGCTCGATGTACTTTTTACGTGAAATAGTATGAAATAATCGCTCATTTTTATTTCAAATGCAGTGACAAGTGCGTGTGACGTCACACGTACTGTGTTAAATATGGCTCCGCCCCTGTCGTGAAATGATTAACGAGTTTTGAAAACGTTGATAAAACTTTGTTTATTTTATTTCACTCTATAATTTTTCAAGCGAAATAAAGATTATTTAAATTGAAATAAATGTGAAACTTAAAACGTTTGCGACATTAAAATAGCCTACTTGATTTGTTTGTTTTGCACGTGCTGTTTGGCGCTACATTGTGACGACACGTAAACAATACTTTAAACGTCTGTACAGCGTTAACGACTGAATAAAAGATATTGGTGTTCGGATTCATTTTCTTAGTTAGACCATTTTCTTTCATTCTAGATAGTTTTCACCACAAAATTCGACAAAAAATTGTTTTAATTATCAGATTTCAAACAAAATGGCGCCTTGGATTTTCATTTTTTATACACAGCTTCCGTTATTCTGGTTCCCTGTCCAATCATGGTTCCCATAGGCGTACGCGGGTGACCAGTCTACACATCCGTTTTCAGTCAGAATTCCTCAGTTTTTATCGCTATCTTTAAATTCGAAAGGTTGCGATGTGTCCAATTCGGTACTTTGGACGAAAGTTTTCAAAACCATCACTTAGCAGGTACTCGCGTTACCGTAAAGCTCGCTTTGCGAGCAGGCCCTTCGGACCAGCTC